TTCCACATTGGTACGATTATAACTAGAAGCAGATGACACACAAGGCAGACAAAGATTGAATTCTGAAAGAACAAAATCAAAGTATAACTGGACATCTCTGCTCATGCAAAAAATGGCCAATGAAGTTGGGTAAAAGCCCTTAAGTTTCTTAAAAATATCTTCAACAAGTGAGGAAGATCATGGTCTTCCTCTCATGAGAAGAATTATTATATTTAATTCCTCCCATGGACACTGAATATTATATTTTAGTTACCTGGTTGATCATGAGGGGAAGATCATGGTAACCATAGAGCCAGTGAGGAAACATGTGATTCACAATGGTTTCACTTGTTGGTCGAACCTGCCACAACCTCAAGAAGTGCAACAATCAAAGCCAGAACTCAGGTCATAAGTTTCCACGGACTCGAACCAGTACTATCACCAACTATAGTCAGTCAGAGATTCATACAACTGCTGATTATCTGCATACCACAAGTTTCTATTCCAGTTCCTTCCCTTCCCTAATGGTAACAATAGCTAACTCTGGACTGAAGCCCTCCACACGGCTAGTTTCTTTCTATATGGAAGAGTATCGCATAAACTGCAGTTGTATGGTTCAAATTGTAAAACACTGACAAATTGCCAATGCGTCCTGATTAAATTATATATATCCAAAGGAAAAAAATCCAATAATTTTGTTAGAAAACCATTCTGGGCAACGAATATAACAAGTCACGGCATTAGACGTTTTATTAAGAAATTCAGCTTTAGAGAGTTAATCACAAAATACCAGTCCAACTCAATCGAGACGAATATTTGTATGAAAGTGAGCATTTACTGAACTCTCTAAGAAACCAAATAGAAGATTAAGAATCACACCTGCGGAAAGCACATGTTACCATGCCGTGCCTCCTTGAACCTAACATTCAAGTCATCCTGTAATTTACAGAGAAATGAAATACATAGAAACAGTTATTAGAAACAGTTACTAAAAGAAAAGGAACTAAATCGGTGTATCCACGAACTATTGATGATTATTAAGGACCTGAATAGCCTCCCAAATGGCATAACCGTACGGGCGAATAACCATATGCCACGAACCGGACCATAATCCGCAAGCTCAGCGTTAAAAATAACATCGAGGTACCAGACATTGAACCTGAGACCGAGGAGTGACGACCCTTTCTTAGTTAACTCGGCTCTTCAGGCTAGCCACTCGGTCGTCCGTCTCAGCCGGACTCGAAACCCTGCTCTTCGCAGAGAATCCAGCGGGAAAATGCGGCCGGAGGAGGAATCTTCGCCGGAAATAGGCCGGAGGCCGGCGCGTTGGAGGAGTAAGGAGAGAAGTAAGAGAAGCTGGTCTCGCAACACTACCATTTTTCGAGTAACTGTTCGGATGATTTGTGGTGGGTAATTAGTAAAAGGTCATTACGGTAAGTATTTAGGATAGTAATTATGAAGTTAGATATGTTTAAGAAAATTATTTTATTTAAATGATAAATTAATATAGTTGTATATTAAGTTAAATTATTAATTTTTTTTATATTTTATTATTTATAATATTTTAAATTTATTTATTTATTTATTTATTTTATAATTAAATTATCTAATTTAAGAAATTATTTAAATTATAATTTTAAATTAAATTTTTATACTAATTATAATAAATTTTCATAATAAATTTATTTGTTAATATTTAAAAAAATTCATTAATTTAAAATTATAATTTTTTATTTATAATTAAAAATTTATAAAATTATTTATTACATAATATTTATTATTTTTTTATAAAATAAATAAATAAATTTTGTTTATTAAGAAAATAAGAGAAAAAAAAAAAGAAGCAGATTGGGTTGCTAGAAGAAAAATAAAGGTTTTTTAAAAGACAAAATAAAAATTAATAAAATTTAATCTTAAAAATATAACCGGAACAAAAATATAAACTCATCAAAAACTACAGAATCGAGGATCTTAAAAATTTGTTCAAATTTTAACTTTTGCGTACCATTAAACATCATAAACTAACCATAACACCAGCAAATAAACATGATTTTATCATTCTACTGTCGTACTATACATTAATGAATCAGAAAATAATATCATTCAAACAGAAGGTAATAGTCTATATTTGAGATTTCAGGATCTCCGATTCGTAGATCTCCGTGGTTTACACTCGGACGAGTGCGTGAGTGACTGATGTCTATTGGGGTCCATGGATTTGATGATGGGCCGATGGGCTATAGGAAAAGCAGCACATATGGAATCTAGTCTTTTTTTATTTTTTTTCGATGTGCAAATTTTATTTTTTTTAAAATTTAAAAATTTTTTAATAGATGAAATGAGAATTAAATAATTATTTATTTATATTAATTAAATTAACGTTATATATTTACTTAATTTTTATATTAATTTCAAACTTGCTAATTATTATATTAGAAAATTATTATTAAAAAAAAAATCACAATCCGTGCAAAATTTGGGGACCATTTTATTGTTGGTAAATAAGAAATTATTTTATATTCTCTATTGAATATATGTTGGGTCGGGACCAACCTTTGCTTAGATGATGGACTTCAAATTAAGGAAAAATAATAATAATAAGAGAAATAAAACAAGAAAAAATATGACACACACACATATATATATATATATATATGGACCGTATGAAAATATATTAACCAAACTTTGAAATCACAAATTCCCAAACTCCCAATGCATCACTTAATTCCGACTTAATACATACATACATACATATATATATATATATGTAGAAAACTAATTTAATCAAAATGTCAAAATGGGTATAATTGATCAAAATTCTTTTGGGGGGAGGGGGATAAAAACCAAGTGGTGTTAAAATTGGGGAAAAAATAAGAGAAATAAAACAAGAAAAAATATGACACACACACACATATATATATATATGGACCGTATGAAAATATATTAACCTAACTTTGAAATCACAAATTCCCAATGCATCACCTAATCCCGACTTAATACATACATACATACATATATATATATATATATGTAGAAAACTAATTTAATCAAAATGTCAAAATGGGTATAATTGATCAAAATTCTTTTGGGGGGAGGGGGATAAAAACCAAGTGGTGTTAAAATTGGGGAAAAAATAAGAGAAATAAAACAAGAAAAAATATGACACACACACACATATATATATATGGACCGTATGAAAATATATTAACCAAACTTTGAAATCACAAATTCCCAATGCATCACCTAATCCCGACTTAATACATACATACATACATATATATATATATATATATGTAGAAAACTAATTTAATCAAAATGTCAAAATGGGTATAATTGATCAAAATTCTTTTGGGGGGAGGGGGATAAAAACCAAGTGGTGTTAAAATTGGGGAAAAAAATAAGAGAAATAAAACAAGAAAAAATATGACACACACACACACATATATATATATATGGAATGTATGAAAATATATTAACCAAACTTTGAAATCACAAATTCCCAATGCATCACCTAATCCCGACTTAATACATACATACATACAAACATACATACATATATATATATGTAGAAAACTAATTTAATCAAAATGTCAAAATGGGTATAATGGATCAAAATTCTATCTGGGGGGGGGGGATAAAAACCAAGTGGTGTTAAAATTGGGGAAAAAAATAAGAGAAATAAAACAAGAAAAAATATGACACACACACACATATATATATATATGGACCATATGAAAATATATTAACCAAACTTTGAAATCACAAATTCCCATTGCATCACCTAATCCCGACTTAATACATACATACATACATACATATATATATATGTGTAGAAAACTAATTTAATCAAAATGTCAAAATGGGTATAATTGATCAAAATTCTATTTGGGGGTGGGGGTGGGGGGGGGGGGGAATAAGA